TACTGATAAACTTCGAGCCCACAACAACACTTACCAGCTCGTTGATATCTGTGATGCCTGTAGCACTCTGAATCTTACTAAAAGCTTCGTCGTAAACTTCAATCTGGCAGTCGATAATGAGAATGCCTATATAATACAAACAACGGTATGACCTTATCTGCCGTCATACGAATATCGGCCTTGTCCTCAGTTGTCCCCATTTCATCCTAAGATGGTGATCTCTAATAACAGGATAACCCACTAGTCCTACATTAAGATTATCTAGAGCGAGAACGTCAGAGTTGCCACTCTTCCCAGAATCCTCTATGCGAGACCTCTCTTTCTGCCTTATGAAGTCCTGATATAACAAACTTGTAAGGATGACCTCCATAATAGACTCACCTTCATCTTCTTATCATTCTCAATAAGGCGACCCAGTTCTTTCCACTCCTTCTCGAACTCGTGGTGCTCTCTATCGGCTTGCTGCTTGAGAGCTGTCATTTGAGCCTACCACAGGCAAGCAAGACTTGCCTAAAGTCATTCACCAGATCGCTACTACTTACCTGAGCCTGATCCCGGGCTTCATAGGCTGCATTGGCCTGCTCAATGATGTTGGCCATTTCCTTCTTCTTCTCTTGAAGTTCTATCTACAACAACAAGACGATAACATTCATGAAACATTATCATGTGATACCTCGAGCTTCCTATAGATGGAGTCGAATACAACCCTTTCCCTCCTCAAAGTATCGATCCGATCCCGTAATCTGGTGTTAACTGCGATGACCTACAAATACACTTACCACATAAATACGAATGCAACCAAGTTAATTTACTTCATTGAACTTCTGAAGGTTCTTCTCGAGCCGGTTGTCCAGGACTTTGACCTGCTTTTCAATCGCCTCGTCAGTCTCCTTAGCGGCATTGATCCCACCTCGGCGAGCTGAGAGAAACAAGTGTCGTCGCTCGAAAGGCTACGCCAAGAACGAGCTCAGGGACTTACCAAGCTCTTCTCGCAGAGAACGAATCTTATCTTCGAGGACCCCAATACGATCATCAATCTACACAATGGACCGGTTGAATAGGGACTACACTAACTGAATACCCACCACTTTTCCTCGAGCAGCCTCATCCCTCAATCGGGCGTCGACGCGATCCTTCTCCTCCTAAAACAACATCATGAGCAGGATAATACACCGGGCGGGAGACCAACCGGGAGCAAGTCAAGTGTAGATTACCTCTATCCTATGTAATCGCTCTGTACCAAGCTTATGCTCAGACTTTGAAGACGTAAAGGCTCTGGTATCATTAAGCTCTTGCTTCATCTTCTTGTTCTCTCGAGATAGCTTCATGATAGTCGCTCTCTGTTTGCGTATAACACCTTGGGACACCTCACTGTAGTTGCGCTTATCGTTCTCCAAAACCCGAAAGTTCCGTTGTAGTTGTTGAA